CGATAGTTTTCGAGCGTCTGCGGCCGGGGCCGCGCGGCCCGATGTCGGTCGAGCCGGCGCGGCCCAGCCGCGCTACTTACCAGCGACCGCGGTGTCGCGATAGCCAGTCTGCTGCCCACTCAGGCGTCGCGAAAGCGTTCGACTCGTCGCACCTCGCGGCGCAGAGGGCGAAGCCGGGATCCTGCGGCGTTCCGAGGGCGCCACCTCCACCCAGGCTGCGGCCCTCACGGCCTCGCGAGTCGCACCGCGCGTAGTTTGCAAGCACGGCCACGATGAGCTTCCTCAGCTTCGCCGGGCCCTTCTTGCGCGCTGCGTTCACACCGCTGACAGCTCGGATCTGGTCGCGGGCGCGGAACGCCCAGAGATGACGGGGCAGGCCAGCACGATGTAGGCGCTCGGCCCGCTCGCTGTCAGCTCCTCCGAAGGAGCCCGCCGCTGTCGAGCTCCTCCATGATCAGCGACTTTACTTCCCAGTCGACCACGCCGTCCTCATCTCGGTTGAAGGCGGCCTTCTCGGGAGGGGGGGGTGCTCATTATGTCGACGACTCTGGGGGCGGCGACCTCGCCGACGCGGTGAACCTCGAAGGTCGCGCGCGCCGCCAGCTTCTTCGCCCCCCCGGAGGGCGCCGCGCCCAGCTACTCACCGCTCGCAGCTGAGCCAACCCCGTGGTAGAGCCATCCCCTCGTAGATCCACAGCGCGTGCTCTGCCGCCAGCTGGTCGCCTCAACGATCCGGCACATGTGGCACTGATGCCCTCGATGATCTGGCTCGTTTCTTGCAGATGAGCCTCCGACGAGCCCCTCGCTGTCAAATTCAGACCGATGTTCACGTGGAAGCCGGCGGCGTCGGTAGGGTCGGGATCGGCAGGCCGTTGGCTCGGTCTCGAAGGCGCTCACCACCTCCTCCAAGCTCGCGAGCGCGCCCTTGCGGCACAAGGTAGGTATCGAGGGAGGTGGGGGTCTGCATGGTGGGAGGTCGGCATCCGACGCACCTCCCGTGGCATGTCCTTCTCCTGGTACAGGCAGCCGTTGTACTGGTTGAGACGGAGCGATCCTCAGCTGCCGAGATCGCTGCCCAGAGACGGGGGGGGTCAGGAGGCCTTGCCCCCCCCTTCGGGCGACCCTTCGTGTCGCCCTTGGGGTGCTCACTGTGGCCACATTCACCTCGCCGGCCTTCGCGTGCACTCGTTCTTCTCGTTGATGCTCTAGCTTGGAGTGCAGCGTAGCCTCGGATATCATCCAATAGGGAACGATCTCGACTGCGCTCCCTGGGGCTGCCACCACCCTTAAACGAGCTCCTCCGACGTAGTCCTTGGCACGCTGCTCGTGCACGTGCGCGGACAGGCGCCGCAATGCCAGCTCGAGTTGGTCGTCGGTGTTCAGCCGCTGATACAGCTCCTGGTCCGAGACGATGCCACAGACGGCGAAGTCCACCGTGGTAGCCATCGCCCACAGCTGCTGCCACTCGGCGCCTTGCTTGGACCCCGTGTGGTACTCTTGCAGCCAGTGGCGGACCGACGTCGTGCCAACACTCCGCATGCGGCGATAGATCTCGCAGCGCGTCGGAAATCGGGAGGTCAGCTGAGCGCCCAAGCGTCCACGTTGCTGCTGGACGTCAAGCCACCCTGCGTGAAGCCAACCGTGAAAAACTGCCCGCCGAGGCCGACTCGAAGCCACGCAGCAGCGCCCGCAGGATCTCGGCGTCGGGGCTCCCGCCGTGGTGGCACCCACGTAGCCGCGGGCCTGCAGCGCCGCACGGATGCCAGCATCCAAGCCGACCACCGCCTCGATCTCCGCGACCCTCCTTCAGAAGCGCGCGCCCCACTACGGGCCTGGGGGCTGCGCGTTGAAGTGGACGTCCTGCCCCGTCCTCAGCCTCTGGGCACACGCCGCCGTAGACCTCAGCGCAAGGGCGGGCGATCCCACCGGCCCGCTCGGGGCGGCCGCGCCTCCGCCCAGCAGGGGGCATCGGCGCGGGGCCAGGCGGCCCGAGCGCAATGGGGAGCCCCGCTGGCGGCGGGTCCTCGGCCGCCTCGGAGCCTGGGGCAGCGGGCTCGGCAGGCGAAGCCAACTCCAGGGCGGCGAGGCGGCGGCGCAGCTCGGCCAACTCTTCGCTCTCCTGCGTCGTGCCGCACTCGAAGCTGGACCCCGCCCGCCACCACGTGGCCACCAGCGTCACGGCCAGGACAACCAGGCCCCAGAGCGCCTTCGTCACCGCCGAGCGGCCAGTGTCCGCGGTCCACGCTCCTCGCCACAGCAGCGTCGAGAGCGCGGTGCCGTTGGCCAGCCCAGCGAGCGCCCACCAGCGGCTCGGGCCGCCGTCGTCAGGATCCGCTCCCGGAGGAGGCATGGCGAACAGATATGAAGGAGGCCCTCTGCCGCGGGTGGGCCTAGCACCAGATCAGTCTTCAGAACTGAGTCATCGGGTTTTGAACTAGAGGAAACGATGGAGAGGGGAGACATGTGAGAGCTCAAACACATTAATATCCATTCGAAACTCATTCGGTCATCGATATGCAGGTAAATATATATATATATATATATATATATATATAGGTGTGTATATATATATATATATATATGTATTCCCCTTGTGAACACTCCGAGGAAGGGCCAATCGAAGGTCGATCGCGGTGGGTGACAGCGGCGCGGGGCCTATCTCCTCCGCGGAGTGCAGGTAGTACTCGAAACACATCTCCCACTCCTCCCTGGCCGCGCCGCCGACGGCCTCGGGGTGATTCCGCAACCCACAGTGCGGAGCAGAAGGCCCCCTGCGGGCTCCTGCCCCCTGCCTCTGCCCTGTAGGCGATCGGTGCCTTGTCCATGCCCATGCTGCTGCCTTTTCCAGTGGGCGCCACGGGGGTGGGGCATGGATGAAAACTTGGCCCCCAGTCTGGCCGTTCGTGAGGTCAGGAGTGCTGGCTGGGGTATGGATAAGATCTCGGTCGCCGGCCCTTCTATCCTTCGGAGATGGAGGAAGGATCTCGGGAAAGGGTCAGCGCCAGCGGGAGTCAGGTCACTCCCTCTGGAATCCATCACCCCTTTGGAGTCCATCTGCTGACCCTGGTTCGGGATGTGCTTCGTGCGGAGAAGAAGGAACCGCACAAACTTTCGGAGGTCCCCGCCGAATTCTTGGGTCCGCACTGGGTCCCACCGGCGGCGCCTCCTGCTCCGCCCTGGGCGCTCCGCTGGACAGGGAAGGGGGCCTGGCGCCGACGCGAGAAGCCTGCGCGGAATTCCGCGAATTTCTGCGCATGCCGCTCTCCTCTTCTCCGACGAGCGGCCGACGAAGGATCAGAATCGATCTCCGGAGACCCGGCTGGCCTCCCGCCGCCCTGGCTGCAGCCCCCTGGGCGGGGTGCATCCATGCCCGTCCCTTTTGAAGGGGCCCCAGGACACACAAATAAATAGATACAAATAACAGGATTCCCCATATGCTCCCATATTTTCTGGGCTTTCGTCTTCCCCCCCCCCCCACTTCCCAGATTTTCCCATATTTTCCTGGGAGTCGACGGTTAAGTGTGTCTGTGTGGTTTTCCCCCTCCTGACCTTTCTCTAACTACCTCGACCACTGGGGGTCAGCGGCCAGGTGGGTAGAATACCTTCACAGCGCCTAGCTCCCCCAGAGGTCTGGCCCCCTCACTGTGGGCCCGCTTTTCGTCCCAGGCTGCGTTTGGACGGTGGGCCCGCTCAGAAGGGCCCCCGCTGGAATTCGAAAGCGGCCGAAACCAATCGCTGCGATTGTCTCACGACGCGAGGATGTCCGGGCTCACAATAGATCCAAGACGAGCCCACCGCGAACGTTTATTGTATCTTCTTTCCCAAATGCCAGTGGCACGCCCGACATGGGTACGGAAATATGGGCACGAAGCCCGAGAACAAAGGTGGTCTAACAGCGACATCGGCCGCTTCTGGGCAGGCACCTGTCTGTCTCAAGTGGACAACGTCTGCAGCGACATTACGGTAGTGCGAATTGGTCGTTATTCCGACGACGTATTCGTGAGCAGAGCTGGGATTGGATATCTCAGCAGTCTCCAGATGTAGCAGCAGCAAGGTTCACAGAATTGATTTGAGTTTTTATGCGTGATTGTACCCCTGCTTCTTCTATTTCGTTGTGTCCTTCTCATCCTTGGCTTACGGACGAGTGTCTGGCGAGGCCTGTATTGGCAGGAACGGCTGTCGGTCTGTCGTGCGCCAAAAGACACATGCGTACCGCGGCCTCGCGTGCCAAGCCCCTGGGCCGCGACCCCGCGGATACGGAGCTTTTTTTCTTCGCGGATGTCTCGCGCGGAGACGTATCCGTAAGACCGCATTTCCGCTGGATCGCGCCCCAGAATCCAGACCGCGAAGGCGCGGATAGGGATATGTTCGCCGCTCGTGAATCTTCGCCCACATTCTTTCCGTATGGTCAAGACGCTGAAACAAGGACCGCTTTCGGTTCGGAGTGGGCTCGATGTTCCTTCGCTCATTTCGTGGTTGTCCCTCTAGCCCTCCTCGTGCACCCACGCGCTGTCGGCGCCAAAGAAGAGATTCGTTCCTGATTCAGGGGTCCCTCTTGTAACACCTCGCCTCTACTCCATTGGGACCGTGCAGCGCTACCGCTGGGCCCCCTGGCGCGCCCGCCCCCCCCCCGCCCCGCAGCCCTCCAAGACGGCGCCACGGGTCCTCCTGACCGGGGCCGCCCACCCCTGGCCGAGAAGGTCTGGTGCTCTCTCTATAGGCCTTCCTGGAGCCACTCGTCCCACCACTGATGAGCATCGCTCACTGATCCCGATCCCCACTGGCGTGGCTGAGGACCCCACTGGCCGACTTACGCAGCTAGGCGGGGATGTATGCTGTTTCCTTCAGGGTTTCGTGGGGTCTATCCCCACCTGAGGGGGTGGGCTTGTGAGACACCATGGCCCAGTGAGGGTGGGGATCGGTTAGACGATGCTAAACTGATGCGTCGGAGCTGCGTCGAACGTCCGTCGACTCGAGTCGATATTGAGTCGAGCTAGAATCGAGCTGGAGTCGAGAAGTAGAAGATGATCACATCGAGGTTTGCTCGCCTCGATCCTCACATCCTGCGTCGTATGGTTTCCTCACGCGGGGGAATGTCCACTTAGTCTGGAGCACCCCCTGGGGCCCTCAAAGGTCCATCCTGCTCGAGAGATGCGGCAGACAGATAGGAGACTTAATCAAGACTCCGGCGAATCACTCGCATGGAGGGGGGAGGCGTGGCGAGGCCCGAAAGGAAATCTGGACTTCACGCAAGCCGACACTTGCTTGCACGTCTTTTCGGCCCAGCTATGCTTTAAAAGGCGGCGGGGGGAAGTAGCGGGGAAACGCCATGCACGTAGACTCGCCAGAGTCCTAAGACACAAAAGGAACGCGCTCTGGGGTCCAGGGCCCCCTCCTGATGTCTCGCTCTGTTGCATAGTTCTCGCGACGCCAGATACGGGACCCAGCCAGTACGCGTGCGCCTTGAAGTGGGCTCGCTCGGGGAGCCCCTAAGTGACGCGCGCGCCCGGCCACGCGCACGAGCATGCCACCCCCCAGTTCGCGAGGACGCCCGCGTGTCACGACCTTTCGCGCGGCGCACTCTCTCTTCAATGACTCTTCAAAGCCAGGTGGGCGCAGGTGCTCCCAGTGTGAAAAAAATGCATCGCCCAGATCTCAGGGGGGCTGGCCCTCCACCGATGTGTGCGCGCGCGTCTCCGCTTCGCTCCTGGCCTCGCGCGAGGTGGGGGAAGCCTCCCTCTCTGGGCGGGGCGCCGCGCTGTCGGCGGGGGGTGCTCTCGCAGGGCGGCGATGCGGCCGGTCGGCACGCTGGCGCAGTCTCGCCCTGCTCAAGAGTGTGCGGAGGCAGCTCCTGGGAGGTCTTCGCCAGAGCAGCTAGCGGCAACTAGGCCCGACCGGGGAGCCACTGAGCTGGGTCAGCCCGACTCACGCCCAGGACTAGGCCTGATTGCGCCAGATTGCCCCAGCTTCGAACTGGTTGGATTCAACTCCCCGTCGCGGGCGAAGCGGAGACAACTGCACCCGCTGAACCGAAAGGACCGCGCGGAGGTCATCACCGTACGTCAGGGGTTCGGGGCCGGTCCCGTGCGGTAATATCCGCCACCGTACCCCCTGGCACGTTGAGGCGTGCTAGAATGCCAAGTGCTGTGTGGCAGGGTTTTTTGTCAATCTTCTAAAAGGCCCCCTCTCTGGGCAGCACCTCGTCGCGTGCACCATGCTCCCGGGGGCGTACCTGGGCGGCCATGGCGCCTCCCTCGGACCCCCCAAGGCTTCCATGACAGCCCAAGAGGCCGCCAAGACGGTCCAAGAGGGCCCCGAGTCGCCGAACGATCGCTAGAAGACTCCCAAGATGGCGCAAGAGGCTTCCAAAGCGCCCCCCAAGAGGGCCTCAGAGTTGATCTTCCTAGCGTTGTTTTACGGATTGTGGCGTTCTCGCCTTTTCTGCTTCCCGACGCTCCACGACAGCCCTGTAGGCACCAAAAATCTGCCCAATACAGCCCAAGAGGCTCCAAGAGAGCCCCAAGACGGCCTAAGAGCGCCCGAAAACGGCCCAAGAGGCGCCCCAGATGGCCCAAGGGGGCCCCGAGACAGCTCCCAAAGGAGCCCCGGAGAGGGAACCCGAACCGAAAATCAGAGCCTTCCGCCCCAAGGGGCCCCCAGGAGGCCCCAAGAGGCGCCCCCAAGAGGCCACCATGCGGCCCACTGGAGCTCCCAAAAAAGCCAGCGGCCCACTGAGGCCCCCCAAAAAGCCCCCAGGAGGCCCTCCAACGGCCCCCTGGAGGCATCAAAACTACCTCTAAGAGGCCCCCGAGAGGCCCCCCACGAGATTCCAAGAAAACATCCACTAGGCTTGTAACCCACAACCCAGGCACGGCGGCGGGACTTGCCGCAGCCAGCTGGTCAAATCGGCCCGGAGCGCCAGGATGTTTATGCCAGGGCCTCGGGGGACAGAGCGCGCGCTTCATAGACGCGCGCGCCTTGAGGGCTACGCGCAACAGAGAATGAATGGAGAACGCGACGCGCACCGACGGGGAGAATAGCCTGGGCCCCCCAGGCGCGCCAGCGGCGCTGCGACATCATCCGCGCACCCCGTCGTGACGGAAGGGGCGCGAACGAAACGCGAGAGTCTGCGATGGCCGATGCGGCGGAAAAAAAAAATTGAAGACGCAGGCAGCGCGCTGCCCGCCGCCCCCCCCTCTAAGCGACGCATGCGCAAACATGACTATAAATGCGAGATGTCCGATGCGGCCGGCTAGCGGCTGCAACCAGACAGGGGCTGCGCGCGTGCCGCTGGGCACACATGTTGATGGACGAAAAACAACAGTTGCCCAAACATAAATGCACGAGTGTTGGCGCCAGCGCGCGCGCGCCCTTGGCAAGCAGAAAGACGCTTGCCCGACGACGGCAACGACGACGCCAAAGAGATCCACGAGCTCGAAACAACCTGGAGAACGGCTCAACAATGTTTTGCGCGAGCGGAGCACCGAGAAAAATAACGCGTCAACGTGCGCCTGACGATGACGGCACCGGCGTCTCCGAAATCGAGAACGACGGGCTCGACTCCGCCCAGAGAGGGGCCCCACTGCCCTCTGCGCGAAAGGAACATCGCGGAGGGGCGCGTGCCAATGCGCACCTGACGACGACAACGGCGACGACGACGCGGAGAAATGCATGCTCGACACCACGTGGGGGCAGGCGCATTTGCCCTCCGCGTGAACGGAAAACCGC